ACTAGAAATCAAACCCAGGGTCTCATGCATGCTAAGAAGGTTCTCTACCAACTGAGCTACAACTCCAGACGTTTTCCTCCTCCAAATATTTTCCATCTAAATCTGGCTGAATCCCTGAATGCAGAACCCATGGGCACAGACAGTTAATTGTACCCACTTACCACGAACAGCTGATTAAAAATCTTCATGGCTGAAAAGATCTGGAATGTTAAGAAGTGCAGTCAACTTTTCCTTAAAACAAAGAATGTCTGGAAAAAATACAGTACCCGACTGCTAGAACAAACCTTGACCACTACTGACTGTATTTCTGTTCTATCAGAAATGTCTCTGCACCATCAACCATGTGGCTTTCTTCCAAATCTAGCTAAAAGAGTACATTGTCGCTAATCCCAAGAATAATTGCTTCATTTTCACACTGAAATATGAACTGTAGTATAAAACTTAAGCAAATTATGACCAAACAATAAGTATCTGTCTCTCTGGTTTTAATAAAAGCTTAAAGTCAACCTGACCCTGTGAGCTCAAATCTGTAATCCCAGCTACTTGGAAGACTAAGGAGGATTGACCATAAAGTTCAAGATCTGGCTGTACAGTGAGTTCAAGGTCAACCTGAGTAACTTAGATGAAAATTGCAGTAAAATTAAAGTTGAAAAACAGAGATGGGTATGTGCGGTGAACAAGCCTGTATCCAACTCCTGGGGGCAGAGTAAAAGAATAGAGTTCAAGATCATCCTCAGCCAAGAGGGTTTGAAGCCAGCCAGTGCTATCTAAGACCCTGTTCAAAACCAACCAAAACAAAATAAACAAATAAATAAAAGGTCTAGATCAGCATGGTGGTATAGCCCTTTAATCCCAGTGCTCAGGAGACACTGTTTGTTCAAGGCCAGTCTGGTCTACATAGTGAGTTCCAGAATAGTCAGAGCTACATTGTTAAGATCCTGTCTCCAAAAAAAAAAAAAAAGGAAGGTAGGTTGGGAATACATACAAAATTCAATTTTTTGTTTAAAAACAAAACAAAACAAACAAACAAAAGCCAGGGAGAGAGAGTTGTACTTTCCATTATCTTCCTCTCCTAATCCCCTCCCTAGCACCTGATGTCAGAGCATAGGAAAGGGATAAGAAAAATAACTAAGAAACAACAGCAAGTTATATCACAGGCTAGGGAATGCAAAGTCCTCCTTTTGCCAAATTCTCTTTAAGTACTAGGGATCCTGCCATCTCAGTAACTGATAAAAAGAAAAAGAAAAACAAGCATTGTTCTTCTCTGGGAAGCCTTGCTTCCAAGACAGATCTAATCTCCTTACACACTCTTTAACTATCAGACAACCTTTATGCCAGCAATATTCCTATGACCTTTTCTATGTTCTTGTGATCTTGTGAAATGTCAAAATCAACTTTTTCATTTTTTACCAATCATAATTTTTCTAATTCAATCTTTTCTTGCTGTGTCTGCATCTGCTCACTCTGTGCTACTTTCCGGATTTCATCTAATTTTTACCTACATTCATAAGTTATTTTTGCTCTCATTTTAAAACCGTCAAACACTAAAGTGGGAAGTACAACCTCTCTCCTGCAGGAGCGTTTCACTCACAGCCGACCCCGGCAATGACCCGCACGCTGCACTCTAAAACCACCGCTGGAGCGAGACAGCCGAGCAGGCAAATGCCAGAAACTCACTTCCAATTTCCCTTCTACCTCGATCGTCTCCAAATGTGAGCTTAATTAATATTCAGTATCTGATGTGCCAGACATTGTGCTAGGTCCTACGGATACACAGATAATAAAGAAGGGGCATGGCTTAGTGGCAAAGAGAAAAACTACTTACATTACAGTGTAGTGTGATAAGTGCTATAGCCACATAAGGCCACATGGTCAGACTAGAGTGTTCCACCTCAGGAGATTCAGGGCAGACTCAGCCAGCGAGAGTCTGCTTCCTTCCAAAGCCTATGATTTCCCTCACGCCCCAATAGTCAAATAATCAAAACACCTCTGCATTAGCTTAACTCACACAGCACCGTGTGAAATCATACCAGTCTGAAGTCATGGTGTGGCCCAAATCGTAAATTACTTGCTAGCAAGAACTAAGTATAACTTTGCATAAGCACCTGGGCACAGCCTTTGCCCTCCACTACCCATCCTTTTCCTGGGTTTTCTCACTGTGTGTATGCACAGACAAAATCTTTTGTTGCTAAATTACATGTAAATTAAATTAATGACCAAGTATCTTACCTTCTTGTTCATTATCTGTATTTAAATCCTGTTACCGTATTTATTTTTTAACTACCACCATCTTAAAATAAACAAACAAAATACCTCCCCAAAAAACACCCCACCTTACTCTCAAAAGGACATTTATATGAGCAAAACAACCCCAGAATGACAATCCACTGATGCCTTATACAAATCCAGACCCCATACTGACGATGCACTATTATCAACACTCAGGGATCAGCTCCTGTGTCATTTCTATCCCTGCAACTCATGCTCTCCTGCCACCCGACCTGACCAGTTCTCTGCAAAATTCATACATCTCTTCTCCCTCACAAACCCTTGTTCCAGACTAAGACTATAATACAAACAGAACTGATTGCACCGCCATTGCTTCTGTGGGATAATATGAAGCCAAGCTGGCCCTCCAAAACTGGATGGCATCCTTCATTAAATCTTTGCATTACCCAGAAATGGTATTCTCAGACAACTTTCTCAGATCTCCATTATGAGAGAAAAACAAATCAGACCACTTAGTTGTCTTCAATAGCACAGCAATTAAAAGTACATTTCCAGGTGAAGGCAATACAATGCAGAGCAGATCCTACCATGCTCTATTGAGAAGCTAAACCTGTATTCACCCCCTAAATTCCAAATAGGACTTTTCAGAGTACTGCTTGATCGCATCAGCAGGGCAGCTTGGGAGTGGGTACAGAACTCCCCTGGTCCCTTCCCCACAAGTGCCACTCTATTTCTAGTCCCTGTTGCGAGGTGTTTGGAGCTACTATAAACATACATCAGAATCAAGTAAAATGTTACTCTAGACACACTAAATTGTTTGTTTGGCTTTTAATTTTACCTCTATACATCTACCTATCTATCTATCTATCTATCTACCTATCTATCTATCTATCTATCTATCTGTGTTTTTGAGACAAGGTTTCTCCGTGTTTGTTTGTGTTTTTGACACAGAGTTTCCCCATATAGCCCCGGCCGTATGTAAGTATGTGTCTGTCTGTCTGTGTTTGTGTTTTTGACACAGGATTTCCCCACATAGCTCCAGCTGTCCTGAAACTTGCTTTATCGACCAGCTGCCTCAAACTCGGCCATTGCCTCCTGAGTGCTGGGGTTAAAAGCTCATGCCACTACACCCAATTTAACACACTAGTTTTTAACTGCCTAAAAGTCCCTTGTTATTGAGTGGACACATTATTTACGTAGCCTTTTATTTACTGAGAAATGAATAAACTTTAGGGGTCTAAAGGTTTACAAACACTCACATGGAACAAGCAGATAAGGCCTCTGAAACAGTCTCTCCAGGAAAAAGGCAACACTATTTTGCGTTCCGGGGTCCTCCCAGTAAGAATGCGATCTGCTGTCATTACTTCTACACGTTAGTCCCGGCACGTGTTTTTAAAGTTCCTAAGAACATGCTCACCACTCCCACACCAAACCTAGTCACCCACCTCCAGCCCCACAAAATCCTGGAGAGGGCAACAGCGGCCAGCATTGCTCTCCCCTGGAAGCTCTCTCAGCAGGGTCCCCAGCAGCCTTCAGAACATCACCCACACAGGCTGAGGCTGAGTGTCAAGAACCACTTTTCCTCGGCAAACAGCTGGGGTCTTCAGGTGCTGGGCTGTTGTGCATGGGGCACATTCTGGTTTCTCTGGAATTTCTCTGGTTTCTCTGGAATTTCTCTGGTTTCTCTTTGCTCCAATAACGGGACTAAGTCCTGTATGTCAGCACTTTGCCAGCTTCTCACCCATAATACCTGAGGCAGGTGCCAATAAAAACTGTAATCTCACTGGCTAGTGAAAACTTCAGAAGTGAGGCACGCGCTCTTCATAGCTCCAAATTTCAGACTGCCCTAAGCCTGAAGGAAAAGGAACCTGGCAGTATTTTCAGCTCTGTAAAGCTAATCTGGAGGGCGAATCCACCCTTAAATGATAGCACAGCTACTCAAAGCAGCCATTAAAAGTAGCAGAAAAAACTGACCCCTCCCCCCCCCAAAAAAACCCTAAGAAATACAGCTACAATTGCTGTTGCATTCTCACGACAGGGGTCTTGAAGCAGTAATACCTCCATCAAGCATGGCTTAGAACAGGTAATTTCTTACATATATTACGGTAACTGAGGAAAAAGGTGTCAGGCTAACTCTCCCCACACCCGCAGAACACAATAAAACCTTGTTAAATCACTAAACATATCAAAAACAATCCCTACTAATAGTTTTCAATCTTCTGCCCCAGGGCATTAAATGGCTGTAAAGAAACAGTTATCCAAGGTCACTCGGGAGTGTCAGAGCCAAGAGTCAAACGTCCAGTCTTTGGACTGAAAGTTCACTGTTTTTTGTGTTTTTCTTTCTAGTTCTTTGGACTTAAGCTAAATGTCATCATTGACATTATCCTAGAAGCCAAACTTTTGTCCTATCAAATTGGCACGGATCAGCTCAGTATTCCAGACCTTTCTTTCCTCTGTCCTATCCCAGACTCTAGCACTAACAATCTCCGCTTTCCGAGCACGCACCGAATTAGCAGAATGCTTCTAACACCAAAAATAAAGTAAGTGCAAATCTTTGCATAACAACCGTCCAAAAAGAGAACTGGCTGTCCTCCAAGACTCGAGGAGGTGGCCATGGGCCGAGGTGGCTCTTTCTCGCGGCCACGTGGGGGAAACGCGGACCTCGGAGAGATCCAGGAGGCGACCGCCCTGTGCTGGGGTCGTGGAGGACCTGGTCACCCAGGTGGGAGCCCCAAATCCCCGGTCCCCCCATCCGCGCCCGCGAGCCTCACCTTGAGCGTCTCGTAGGCGGTGGCCACCAGCAGGAAAGCCTCGGCGCTCGGCGGCGCGCCCCCGGGGCCGTCGCCCGGCTCGGGCCGGTAGCGGTCGGG